AAACTTTCATGTGGCGCTGCCTTGATGGAACTCTCCCCTTCCCCACAAACTTAAGACGGTTCCATCTAATGGCCCCAAGTCAATGCCCCTTTTGCCTCTCCAATGAAGATGTACTTGATCATACCCTCCTCAACTGTAATTTCAGCAAAGGGATATGGAACTATTTCAGGGATATGTCTTCTGGTCCTTCGTACTCAGCCAAGCTATCCCTCAGGCAACATCTTATTGTTTGGTGGATCTCAGGTGACTCTAATTCCTTCAAAGGGAATGTGAGACTCATTCTTCCTGGCATCATTACTTGGACCATTTGGAAGGCTCGGAATCTACATATTTATGATGATCAGAGGTGCACCAAGGAGGGGGTGATTCAACAATGCTTCAAACAACTTCAAAGCTGGTGTTGGGTTAACAGGAACAAGAAATGGATGATCCATGATGAAGACTTCACCGGATGGGGTCTGGACCAGTATTGGAGAAATGGAAGGAAACTGTTGTGTATTGTTTAGCACGTTTTTCTCTTTCTTCTTGTATTCCTTTTCCTTCCTATTTTTTTAATAAAAGTTTTCCTTAAATATATATATATATATATATATATATATATATATATATATATGAACACTTTTTCTACTAGATTTGGATGTCACTTTTGCTGTTCGGTAAAGACTTTTTTTCCGTAGCCTATTTCACACCCGATTTCGCGCAGAAAAAGGTACGACCAACGTACAGAGATTCGTTTCACTATGTTACACTCATTTCGTTGAACATAGTTCAACGAATTCTCTAGCGACTACGTACCTCTTCGAGCGACTCCCCTCTTCGAGGTACGAAGTCACTCGACCTACGGGAGAGGGACTCCCGTTGGTCATACGTTGGTCGAATGAGTTCAACGAATTCTTTACTCAAAAAAAGTCCGTGGAAATTTACTCGGTTTAGCAAGAACTAGAAACTCTCCATCATCTTTGGCTCCAACAGATGGGGCAATTTCATTAGAATTTCTGAATCCAGGCTTGAATTAAGGTTTTAACTCCATCTTTATTCCGGTTGACAGAGAGGGTGGCTCCAGGTTCTATAAGGCCATTGACTCCTTCTTCGGTAAAGTCAAGCTATCTGGTGCTCAGCAGGTCTCATTTGTCCAAATATCAAAAGGAGAACCCAATACTAATTCAGGTTTTAGTCAGGCTGAAGTAACTATACAGGGAGATGTTGCTCTTCATTCTTTGACTGATACCAAGGAGGCTACTTCTACGAGCTTTGCAAGCAATCAAGCATCAGTTGGAAAGGAAGATGTACATGTTACAGATTCTGTTGCTTCAAAATTGACAGTGGCTGGACACTACGAACATCTTAAGAATAAGCCTCCTAGCTTTCAGTTTTAACTAGGATGTTTTTGGTTCTTATAGATGCACCATGTATCTTCCCAGCAGAGCATTTCGGTTTCTGCTTTTCCTCCAATAAATCTGTGAACTTGGATTTAGTAAAGATTCCCTCGATAGAGCTATCAGTTGATTCCATACAAGAGGAGGTCATGGGGGAAACGCAAGAACACACTCATCTGTATCTTGGAAACAATGAGTCTCTTCCCATTATTGAATGTCCTGAACCTATCCTAATAGTTTATTTTGAGAACGAGGGAGGTCGAGAAGAAAGCTTCTCCGCCAAAGACTTTCATTCAGACACTGAGCTTTATGTGAAAGAGGACAACTTTGAATTCCAAGCCTTCTTCAGAGATAATGTGGAGTTTGACCCTGACCCGGAGCCAACAAGAATGTGGTACCCGGATGACGGTATCGAGCCCGATAACCATCTCCAGCACTGGGGAGGACCAAAGGGGCTTACTACTGCCTTAATTCGCAATAATGATCAAGGTCGGATCATCTTTGAGAGGGGATGCGTTAGAGGAACTAGCCCCCCTGCTCCTAGAAGAAGTCTCAGACTTGCTAGGCGTAGACGCCCTCCATCCCCTATTCGTTCTGAGATATCTCAAACTAATGATGATATTTGGGGTTTTTGAACCACAGTTTACTATTTTTTGGTCTTGAGCAGTGGTGTTGAGACAGTATCCTTGGATTTCTGCTTAGTGGAGATATAGTTTTATGGTGGATGAAAGCGGATTTGTGAAGAATTGCCTTGGGTGTCATACAAGGTGCTAGTGGTTACTTATTGCTCTTTTGGGTTTGTGAGCCATTTTGGTCTTCTCCTGCTGTTTCTGTTCGGTAAAAGGTGCTTATGCAATGCTTGGTAGCAGTTAGTGGAGTGGTTTGGGTGTTTTTGGCTTCTCTTGTTTGATGCTGAGCTTGCAAAAGGAGATGACGCAATTCCCGTAGGAGAGTATCACGCTCAGCGAGAATGTCATCCACGGCCGGTGCACGGCTGGTCCCGGGGCAATAAGGAACCAAATCAGGGGGTGGACGTCCATACAATGCCTGAAAAGGTGTCATGCGAAGTGCCGAGTGATAGCTCGTATTCATGGAATACTCGGCCCATGGAAGAAGAACCGTCCTACGCTTCGGCCGGGAATGCGTGAAAGACCGTAGATACTGCTCCAGTGTTCGATTCATGACCTCCGTCTGACCATCCGTTTGCGGATGAAACGCAGTGCTATGCTTCAATGTGGTGCCGCTAAGATTATGCAACTCACGCCAAAAGGTGCTGATAAAAACCTTATCTCGATCCGAGACAATTGTGCGAGGGACGCCATGCAATTTAACCACGATGTCTGTAAATAAGAAGGCCGTGCGATGGGCATCGTAGGCAGCCGGCAATGCCCCAAAGTGAGTGTACTTGGTCAGTCTATCAACAACGACCATAATCACAGAGAACCCACGGGACACGGGCAGGCCGGTAACAAAATCCATGCTTATGTCCTCCCAAACGCGTTGTGGAATAGGTAGCGGTTGAAGGAGACTTGCCGGCGGTAGTGATAAGTCATCAAATCTCATATTTTATTCGCTCATATTAGGCCTTTTTAGTATATTCCAAATGCATTTTATACAAATTTAATCACTATTATGTTTAAATAGCAATTTAGGCCAATATTTATATTTTGATCATAAATTGCATTATTTTGAGTATTCTTTTACTTCACTATTTTTATTATCTCATTTATCTTGACGTAGGTCTTAAAAGTCGTTCTGCGAAGCATAAAAAGCTCGGTGAAGATGTCAAGTTTAGATCCCGGGGCTGTAAAGAATTTGATGCGTAAGTAAATGGGACAAGTCACTTGGTACTTGACCCAATAGCTCATTAAGCAGCCCAGTCCAGAGCATCCCCAAAACAATGAAGAGGAAGCCGTCCAAACAAAGAAACCGAGTCAAGACCTGTGCATTCCTTCGTGTGTACCTGCGGCAGCCCAAATCCACCAGTCCAGCAACTGCCCAGGTCTCAAAAAAATCAGCGGAAGAGTCCAGCGGAGTATGGGTAGCGCAAAGGGGATTCCAACTTTGAAACGGCAAGAGCAGCGTACGAGGCTGAAATTCAGGAAATTTGGAGTCCTAACCCTAGACGAAGGTCTGATTTCCATCCCTATAAATGCAGCAGGCGGCAGCGAGAGAACGGGGACGGAGAAGAGGCGCAGAGCAACGGACGCAGCGCAGCTCTCGACCAGAGTTCTTCTTCCTGCGCCAATTCTGGGTTCTACCTCTCAATTATGATTTCTTGTTCTAGAATTATGATTGGCTAGACTCTTAATTTCCAATTCCAAGTTAATACTCTATGATTTGATTTGTGAGATTTTATGCTTAATGCTTTATTTGTCATGATATTCTATGTTTTTTTATGAGATACTTTTTATTGAATTCATTAGTTTGATTAATTTGGATGCATACTTTTTAATTAATCTTGTGAGTTTATTGCTAATTGGATTCTTGGTTGTTTGATTGAGATTTCATTCTAGTAGCAATCATGTTTTTTTAAGGAAAATATAGATGCAAATTGAATATTTTTCCGTTTGGAAGAATGTTGTTTGGGTTGGCTAAGAATTTACTTAACTTTATGCAATGGAACCTTGAATCCTAGGCGTCCGTTATAGGGTTGGGTTGTCTCTTAGACTCTCAATTAGGCTTAATTGGTGGTGTTTGTCACTTTTAAGTATTTTAGGTGAATTAGGGATTATTGTGCGTTTGCAAGTAATCTATGCCAACTATCTTGATAAATAAATATCTTTTGTGTCAATGATCAAATCAAATTCATGAGTTAATACTTGGGATTGGAAACTTTCTAATCAAATTCTTTTAAACTTCTATTAGTTGCTCGATTTACTTTTAGAATTTATTCTCTAGTTTTTTTTTTACAAAATTTTATTTAGTTTTAAATCAACTTCAAGAAAAAAATATCTACGAATTAGTAGTTAACTCTTGCCTCTCTGTGGGATCGACCTGAACTTACCTTATCTACGGGTTAGTTTAGTTTTATTATTTGGTGTTAAAACGACATTCACCAGGTAGTGTGGGGAATTTGGCTTTCTGACACACCTCACATTGGCCGACATAAGAACGAACATCCCTGAGCATTAAAGGCTAATAAAAAGTCGCGGCCAGACGGGAAAAAGTATGATGAACACCCGTGTGTCCCTCAATCGGGGAATCATGATACTCCCGTAGAAGCTCCGTACGTAAGGAGGATGCCCCACCAACACACATCCGGGTTCGATAAAAAAGCACACCATCCACAACAGAGAAGGGGGCAGGGAGGGAGCCTTGACGGTGAAGCTCGTGCAAACGAATGAGGTCTGGTTCGGTACTATTCTCCGCCCGAATGCGATCAAGAATCTAAGGAATAGGTTGTGAAAAATTAAAAAACTGAGCTGCCCCAATGGTTGTAACTTCAGTCGACGCACCCTGCTCCAAGTGTTGCCGCGATAATGCATCTGCCACTACATTCGTTCGGCCCGGCTTATACTCAATGTGAAAACGATACCCCATAAGCTTGCGGATATAAAACTGTTGATCGGGCGTTTGAATGACTTGTTGCAAGAGTTCCCTCAAACTACGCTGATCCGTACGTATCAAAAACTCACGCCCCAAAAGATATTGCCTCCATTTTTGAACGGCCTCGACTATGGCATAAAGCTCCTTGTGGTACGTGGATGCCGCGAATCGTCGAGGGCCCAATTTCTTACTAAAGTAAGCAATGGGCTGCTCTTCTTGAAGAAGGACCACACCAATACCCGAGGATGATGCATCTGTATCAACGACGAATAACAAAGAGAAGTCTGGTAATCGCAACACCGGAGCTGTCGCTAGGTCCTGTTTGAGGAGCTCAAAGGCTTGTGTAGCAACATCTGACCAATGAAAAGAATCCTTTTTTAGGAGGTCAGACAGTGGTGCGGAGATGTGAGCATAATTTTGAATAAACCGACGGTAGTAGCCCGTTAAGCCCAAGAACCCGCGAAGCTGTTTGATAGTTTTAGGCAACGGCCGTTCCAACATGGCCGCAATTTTGGCCCTATCTACATGAAGACGCCCAGCACTGATAATATGCCCCAGATAATCAATCGATTCCGCACAAAACGAGCATTTAGACGGCTTGAGAAAAAAGTGATTTGAGCAAAGCAACCCCAGGGCAACTTCGAGGTGGCGGCCATGATCCTCCAATGTTGAGCTGTATATCAAAATATCATAAAAAAAAAACAATGACAAATTTCCGTAAAAACGGGGCGAATAGTTGATTCATGCACGCTTGGAAAGTGGAGGGGGCATTCGTGAGACCAAAAGGCATCACCCGAAACTCATAGTGGCCTTCATTGGTACGGAAAGCCGTTTTGTAGATATCGCAATCGTACATACGAATCTGATGATACTCCGAGCGTAGATCAAGTTTTGTGAAGAATCTAGCAGACCCCAACTCATCAAACAATTCGTCCGCGGTCGGGATAGGGAAATGATCCGGTACAGTAACTGCATTCAATGCGCGATAATCAACACAGAATCTGTACGTGCCGTCCTTTTTTTTAACCAGCAGTACCGGAGACGAAAAGGGGCTTCGACTTGGCTGAATCAACCCTTGATCAAGCATTTCCCGAACCAAACGCTCAATTTCGGCCTTTTGAAACTGAGGATACCGATAAGGACGAACGGAGACTGGTTTGGACCCGGGTTGGAGAAATATCCGGTGATCGCTCAAACGGCGAGGCGGTAGGCCAGTCGGCTCCTCAAAAGCTGCTGGAAAACGCCGGAGTACGGTAAGAATATTCGTAGGCAACCCCTCTGGCCACGGTTCCCGATCAGCGGCCTCCTCCAACGAAGCCTCGACGAGAAAAAGTTCAAAGTAAGCCGTCACAGAATGGTTGGCATGCATCATTTGACAACGGTGCAGGGAAACTTGTTTCACCTCTGGTGATCCACCTTGCAACGTTACCGGAGTCCCTTTCCAACAAAAATCCATCGTCAAATTGGCATAATCATGTGTGACCTTTCCCAATAATTGAAGCCACTGCACTCCCAACACCACGTCCGGGCCATGTATATGGAGAACGAATACGTCAACAGAGAAGGAAACACCCTGCAGAAGCAATTCCACATCCCCACATTGTGTATCACATAAAAGAGAAGCACCATTTCCCACATAGACCCTAAAAGCGGCTACTTTGACGACCGGCAATTGCAACCGTTCCACCACCCGCGGATGTACAAAATTGTGGGTACTCCCACCATCAATGAGGACATCAACGACGCCCCCCGCAATCATTCCCGATAAACGTAACGACCGGGTTGCCGTGACACCGGCCATACTATTCAATGTCGAAACGTCCGCCACAAGCAAGGTTTCATCCATCGTCTCTGGCGAGAAGTCCTCCTCCTCATCTTCGAGCAACAATAAAAAACGGCCACACCGATGACCCTTGGACCACTTCTCATCACAATTATATCATAGGCCTTTGGCGTCACGCTCTTTCTTTTTGGCGTAGGTGAGACAACGAATCGGGGGGGTGGGAGGCGTTTTATCCTCTGGTTGTGGCGCTCCTGGCAGTGGCAAAAACGGCTGTGTTTGGCCCTTATCGAAAGGTCCTGACGTTGGCCAAGGACGTGACCCAAGAGATGTGGCCCAGGCGGCAAGCTTGGCCTCTAATTCCCGTGCAAGGGCAAAAGACTCCGATAAAGAGGACAGTTTGAGAAGCATGAGTTCATGTTGCAGATGCGTCTTTAAACCGGCATGAAAGAGAGATTGTAAATTAGATTCTTCGACCCCCGTCACATTCACCAGAACCTTCTCAAAAGCCTGTTGATATTCAAGCACGGACCCCGTCTGGCGAACCTTAGATAGTAACCCGAAATAATCTACAAAATTCAAGGGATCAAACCGTAGTTTAAAAGAGGTAACGAACTCCGTCCAAGATGGCAGCAAGTTGTTCCGTTGGCGCCACCGGAACCAGTCCAGCGCCTGTCCTTCCAACATCAAACAAACCACCGACAGGCGGGATTCTTCCGGAACGGCATAAAAAACAAAATATTCATGAACCTTGAATAACCAACCCAAAGGGTCCGTTCCGGCGCACTTGGGCATATCAAGTTTGAGCTTTGTTATGGAATTCACCGACCCGACAAAGCCGTCGGGGGTTTCCCAACGTGGGTGAGGTCCCTCGAACGGTCGTTTTTCTGTCAATAAAGCCTTCAAATCCCGTTGGAGCTGCTGCATGGCCTGGTTCAACTGTTGCATGGCGGCCGTCTGAGATTGAATTTGGCCGTCAACTTGGGATTGGAATTCCCGGAAGACGTTCGTGCTCACCACGTTGGAAGCCATGAAGACTCAATGGAAGCACCAATGATAGGCAAAAGTTACCTACGATCGGAGAACTTCGAGTGGGTCCTTACTCCGTGCGCGTCTACAGCAACAAGGGGGAAAAGAGAAGGATTAGAGACTAGAGGGAAGAGAAGGAAAGAAACGGCAGTGGGGAGGGGAAGAGCAAGCCTCACGGCTGGGAAGGAGAAAAGATTAAGGGGAATTATGATTGCTTATTATTGATAATGGTAATCATCTCTATTTATAATAGAGATACCCCAACCTAATTACTACGTTCTCTATCCTGACGGTTCAAGAAAAAGCGACGAGGTAAAGAACCGTAAAGAAACCCTCGAAGGAGCTTATAGTTCCGCTCACCTAATAAAATCTAAATAAAAGAAATAATAAGAATAAAAATAATAATTTATTAATTAAGTTCAAACTCCCGCTGCCACGCCGGTGCACGCCTAGCTCTCGTACTCTGGCGCCTTCCCCCTTCGCTAGTCGTTTGGCATGGCTCAGCGGTGGGCTGTGAACCCGTAACATTAACTCAGCTTCTTAACTTTTTCTACTATCGAACAAAACAAAGCTAGCGCTTAGTAGTGTGTTAAACAGGTCATGCAGAGTGGCCAATGCCGCCTTCAAGTTGGCTTCGTCCAAAATGAGAGATTCTAGCTGTTGGAATCAACAGTGCCTCTTAATCAGACATTGAATCTAGGGATCCGTTTCTTGTTCCACTGCTGCTAATAACATCATCTGGTACGAAGTACGAAATCTCCTTTAAAAAAAGAAAGAACTGTTCACAGTGAAAACTCCGGATTATCACGTTATTCTACCCTTCGGGAAATGGAATAACGATAGGAGATTCAACTTTATATACAACGATTTGTTTAACTATTTACATAAATTTCAATAACCTACTTGACTATACGTATCTTTTGGTAGCATCAGTACCGGCATAGCCTTTTTTTCCCATATCTTTTGATAATTTCTTTATGGAAAATACATTATTATTTCTTGCCTCAATCAATCCGTAGAGTACAATATATATGGACAAATACAAACAAAGAAACCTATTTACTCTAAAATTCTAACTTACACAAACAAGGTAACAATTAGTAATAAATGGGAACCATAAAATCCTCCTTAATTCTTGCCATGCATGCGTACGGTTCTCCATCCAGTAATGTGAGTAACCAAAGGTAATATATATACCATATTTATCTTTAACACCCCCCCTCAAGTTGGAGCATGTAACAAACAAATGCCCAACTTGGGAAGTAAAGCATCGAACTGTCCCTTTCCAAGAGCTTTAGTGAGAATATCCGCACACTGATTATGAGTGGAGACGTGAGATGTACGGATGGATCCTCGTAACAGCTCATCGCGAACAAAATGACAATCAATTTCAATATGTTTAGTGCGCTCATGAAAGACAGGATTAGCAGCAATGTGAAGAGCCGCAGTACTATCACAATAAATTTGCATCGGTGTGGGATGAGGCACGTCAAGAAAACGTAATAAAGCATGTAGCCACTTAAGCTCACACGTGACTACAGCTAGAGAGCGATACTCTGCCTCGGCTGAAGACCGAGCCACGGTAGGTTGTTTCTTGGTTTTCTGGGATATAGGGGAGACACCCAGTTGGACAAACCATCCAGTCAAAGAGCGACGAGTCAAAGGACAAGCGGCCCAATCAGAATCATACCACCCAGTCAAATGAAGAGAACTATCAGAACAGAGAAGAATTCCATGACCAGGAGTACCTTTAAGGTAGCGGACTACGCCTAGAGCCGCATTCCAGTGATCGAAGCCTCATTGACTAAGAGGTCACGGGTTCGAAACTCAGCACCACCCAGTTTAAAAAAATTAAGGTTTCACGTGTAAGGCTCCAAAATAATAAGTCTGCACGTGAGGGGGCGTGTTAGAATATAAATAACTGTTCCTGGGCCACAACCACAAGCTTGAGCTTGTAGTTGAGTTGGTTCCTTGACATTCTTGAGTGATTTAGTGTTCTTAGACACTTGATAAGAGAAGGATTTTCTCTTGTTGTTCGAAGGAAGGGTTGTTTCCTTCGAAGGTTCATTGAGGTTCGTGTGACTCGAACTCTCAAGTTGTACGAGTTTGTTAAGCACCGTTAAGCTTAACGTTGTTAGTGTAGCTCGAGAGAGTCTCTCGGGAGGCTGGACTAGCCACAAGTTGTGGTGAACTAGGGTAAAAACGGTGTGCCTCTTCCTTGCTCTTACTTTACGCCTTTTAATTTTTATTCCTCCGTCGTTTTTCGTTTCAAACGCTATTCACCCCCCTCTAGCGTTGGAACGTTTTTCTAACAACTTTTTACACGGTCAAATTTTTATCACTTTCTTTACCTATTTTAATTAGGTATTTGATAAAATAATATAATCTTGTCACCACTTGTTTTGTAGAACTTTTGATGTAGTTTTCAAATATATAAATATTATTTTTTAATATTACACCTACAATCAAATAAATTGAATTGAAAATAAAGTCAGTCAAACTTCGTAAAATGAACCGGGAAGAACATTATAGGACGGAGGGAGTATGTAATTTTTATTTTTAAATTTTACAACATTATTCATATAAAATAATTTGAAAATAACTTCAGTCAAACATCGTAACGCGCAATGCGAAATTTATTTGTGGACGGAGAGAGTATAATAAACCCTTCCAGTGTCTATTCACTCCCGTCACCCAACCTTATCTACAGTATTTTTCTTTATCATTTCTTTTAATTCTCCTCCATCGACCACCCAACCATTATCTGCTTCTCGCCTTCTCCTTCATTTCTTTTTCTATTTTATCTTTGCCCAATGCCCACCACCACCCAACCATTATCTTCTTCCCTTTCTTCGCCCACCACTGACAAATCATCCAAGCCTCTTCGGTCATTGTTGCATCACCCTCTGCTGTAGCAACAGGTAATTAGTGAAATCTGGGGAGCAACGAATGCAGACTTGATGGAGGTTTGATGAACATGCATGGGGAAACAATGGAGATCTGATGGGGATTCGAGCAATGAATATTTGACAAAATCATATCTCTTCATCACGGGAAGTATTATCGCTGATCTGTGTTTTGCCCTGGAGGTGAGCATTTGTTCTCTTCATCACTGGTTTACACCAACTTCATTGATTGAATTGCTTTCTACGTGCTTTGTTTTCACTTTATTTATACCAAGGCATGCGTATAATAAATCGGTTCATTTTTAGCAAGTGCTCTTTTAACAATCTTATTTTTTAAGTCATAAGTTCAATTATTTTAAAAAATGCAATTTTTAAAGACCTATTTAGTAAAGGGGAATTTACGTAAATATCACTAAAACATGATGAATTTCCCTAAATAGCATATGTGTTTTTTCCCGCACTTTTAGTCATTATTCATTAGTCATTATTCAAGTATATGTTTGTCATCACTGGTCATTATGGACATTATAAAGTGCTATAATAAAATAATTTAAATATTACTCCGTATTTAGAGAAATGACTTAAGTTTTAGTGCTATTTATTGCAAATATTTCTTTAGTAAATGTGTAGGTTCATAAAATTAGATTTTTTAAATATTTAAATGAAAAATTTCTAGTGGGGGGTATTATATAAAAGTTTTATTCCCTCTCTTCTGCATAACTTTTTTTTTAAAATTTGTTTGTTTTGATTGATTATTTGATAAAATAAAACATTCTTGTCACCTCATGTTTAGTAAAACATTTGATTTAATTTTAAATATATAAATTTTATTTTTTACTCATATATCAATTCTTTTTGAACAGTAAACACATCTTTATTACTAAACATCTAGAAGCTCAACATACATATGGTTTATCACAACTACAAACAAGGCTTATACTACATCACTTTCAAATAGTTAAAGTAATATTTAACGTAGTTAATTGCTTGCAACTTAAACTCCTCTTCTTCTTGTTTTGGTTCCTCTTCTCATTTCTCCACTTCCAAACATGATAAACGCATGAAGTTCACACTGCTAACCAAATCCTCCTTGTTCTACAGCCCTTTGTACTTTGGATTATCCCCCTACTTCCTCCTTGGATCTGGCATTCATTTGCAGCTGAAATTCACCCATTACACCCATCACTCTCATTCCCAAAGTGCCCAATCCAACAGTTACATCTGATTCCAGGCCAATTTCTTGTTGTAACACATTTTACAAAGTGATATCAAAGCTGATATGCTTGAGACTTAAGGAGGTGCTACCACATATTGTTGACTTGAATCAAGCTGCATTTGTCAAAGGGAGAGAATTAGTTCACAATGTATTATTATGCCAAGAATTAGCCAAAGGATACAAAAGGAAGGGTGTAGGGTGGGGATAGAGACACATAACATTATCCAGTTGATGAACTTCTCTGAGAACTTTAGTCCATACAGTATGCCCCTAATAGCTTTCCAATTGATAGAGTCATATGCCTTTTGGATGTCCAATTTGATCATGCATCTTGGGGATACACCCTTCCTTTTGTATCCTTTGGCTAATTCTTGGCATAATAATACATTGTGGACTAATTCTCTCCCTTTGACAAAAGCAGCTTGATTCAAGTCAACAATATGTGATAGCACCTCCTTAAGTCTCAAGCATATCAGCTTTGATATCACTTTGTAAAATGTGTTACAACAAGAAATTGGCCTGGAATCAGATGTAACTGTTGGATTGGGCACTTTGGGAATGAGAGTGATGTAGGTTGCATTAATCTGTTTTTTGGTTATGTCCTCTTTAAAGAAATCCAATACTGCTCTGGTTGTTATTCTCCCCACTTTATCCCATTGCTTCTTGAAAAAACCACTGTTAAACCCATTTGGGCCTGGGCTTTTTGAGCTAGGAATTGAAAACAGAACTTTTTTGACCAGTTCAGGTTTGAATTCTTTTATTAGTTCCAGCTGTTGTTCTGCTGTTAAGCTTTTGCCCTTCACCAAAACTTTTCTGTCAATCTCCTTTGTTGGGTGAGTGGAGCCCAACATTTTACTGAAGAACTCCTCTAATACCCTTGCTATACCATCCGTGCCTTCCACCACTGTTCCATTATATCAGCTTCATAATGTAGTTGTTCATTTGCCTTTTCCTTGCCCAAGCATGAAATAACTTTTAATCACTATCCCCTTCTGTTATCCACTCCTGTTTGATTTGCTGACACTTCAATTGATAAGATGGCTCTGTTCATCGGATGCATTAGCTCCCTTTCTCTATTAAATAGGAACTGGCTGGGATTGGCTTTAATATCTCTTTGAATTCTCATCAGCTCGTCTCACTTCTCATCCACCTGCTTATGTATCATATTAAATTTATCCTTGTGAAGTTTCCTAAGAGGCTCTTTAAGCCTTCTTAGGTTCTGAACCACTTGGTACATACTATTTTGGTTTGGTTCTTCTTTCCAGACCCTCTGCATAATTTGAAACTATTATCATAGTATTTTTAAGACAAACAAATAGTGTCTTTGTGCATGAGTGCACTTAAAAGAATAACTTGAAACATTCTACAACTATTTATCTGAAAAATAGGAATAATGACCAACAAAAATTAACTCAACATATCTTTTATTTAAATCAGTGGTAATTGTATATGGGTAAAGTACACAAACCTTTTCAGAAGTTAGCTTAAACTCCCCGACATAATCAAATCGCCCTTTCTTGACATCCCCATCAACATTTAGATCAAAAGTCAACTTCTCATCACCAAATTCAAGCTTCATCTTCATGGAAAGAATAATGGCATGACTGTTTCATTGTAAAAGAATACTGTTGACCAATCAACTCAGGTGGGTGATATTTTGGCTGCTTGTCATTGTAATACACCCATCCTGTGCACATATGCAAGTGAAGAGTCACAATTTTATTCAGACAAACATTGTCTTTACTACTATGAAATGACAAATAAACAGAGATTGTTGAGAATAAGAGGTAATGAAAATTATTGCATTTAATAAATGCAATGAATATGCTTCAAATTTGAACTGAAGATTTGTCACAGATCGATCAGAGGATAGCCTTGAACAATAGAGGTTAAGCAGGGATACACTAGATCTCAATTTAACAATTGCTCCTGTAGATTCTACTTTGTATGAATATTCATCATATTGATCACACTCAACAGGTAAGCATGGCTGAGAAGCATGATTTAAAGATTACTTCCTCATTATCTCTCCACTTTCAAGATATTTTCTTACTTTAACAAGGGTAGACACATCCTCACTGAAAATAAAGAAAAAATAAATACAGTGAGGATTAATAAAAGTACATGTCTATCCATATCATTGGGCTATTGTCTTGTGAAGCTGAATTTTGGCAAGGTAATAAAACCAAAAAACAAAAAAGAACAAATTGATTGGACTCTTCATTCATACAAGGAGTATGATGGTTGTTTGTAATGTTTAAAAAAGCAAATGAAAAACTGAAATCCCTTTAAAGTTTCTTATTTCACATAGTCATGAAGCTAAATCCCATCACAATAAATGATATTTTAAAAGCTTCTTTGTTTATACGCTTGATTTCGATCTATAGATTTAAGCACATTCCATCACACACTCTTTTGTTTCAATGAGTGTTCCAGATTTTTTTCTTAAAATGTAGCTTGATTCTATTTGATTACTTTTTTTAATAAATCACACAAGGCTTGTGATGCATTTGCACTGTTGAGAGATCAATTATGGAAAAGAGATTATGAGTTTTATGATCTATTTAGTATTCATGAGAACTTCAAATGAAGATGTAGTGCAAACTACATCTTCATTGGCCTCCCTTATAGAATGGAGATTTGGACTGATTTAACTTATTTCTTTATCATAGCTGGTGTTCCCGTCAATGAGCGCCAAGAAGAATGACAGGTTTAGATCCTCATTCGCTTTTCTCTGGCCACTGGCCTTATCCATGCCACCAATTTTTAAAGTGCTCCCAAATGATAGCAACCTAGGCATCTCTTTCTTTGTTAACTCGATTACTCCCTAAGATGACTAACTAAACATCCAGTTGATGTTTTATTTACTCGTATTCTATGATTACATGTATATTCCCATTTTGCATTATTAGTTGTTTGTTGTTTTTTATTCTTGCTGTTTAGACCTTAAAGTACAAGTAAAGAAGACTACATATTAGAATATATTTAGAATTATGAGGTTAATATGAAATAAAATTTAATTTTTTTGTAAGTTTATTTCAACTTTGTTGATTTATTGTTTAAAAGTTGTCAATGGTTTGAGGTCTCATCACTGCTTTATGTGATGTGTGTAAGTAAGTCATGTTTATGAATTGATCTTCATTTAAATTTTCTTTAAATGATTCAGGTTAAGTTCCCTAATGGTTTGCCCCCACCTCCATCTCGAAGTGAGTATGCTATTTTATATATATCCTCCCATATCTCATGTGCAGTATCATAATACAAAATGCTACTTGCAATTCCAGGTTCAACTGAGTGCAAAATCCAAGAAATTACCAGATTATTGCATCGCTTCCACTGATTGAGCAAAGGAGAATTTGATTCTGGTGCCTTCGAGCTCCCATCCACAAATCCAAGCTTGTTTCTCGCACTCAGAGCAATCTGAGCCGATCGTTTCCATTGTGCATAGTTGTCGCCATTCAACTTCTGAGATGCAAGAGAGAAATTAGGCGTCTCCATTGGATGTAGATACAGCTCGCTCTGTGGATCGATTGAAGAACGAGTCACTGATTCCGCCATGCCTTCAAATTAGATTTTGATTTGGACTGAGAAATGGAATCGAGTTTTGACAAATTCAGATTGAATCAGAAATGATAACGCCATTAAAGCATGGCTCTGATACCATGTTAAAGCAGCCAAAGATTCTCCAAATTGAACCGACTATCCACGTACACGGCTCCGGCTATGGACTTTACAATGTTAGTAAGAACTTTGAGAGCTTTGATAGCTCCGCCATAAAACTGGGACTCGTCCTCTTCTCGGACCGTCATCACAAACTCCGTGACCTTTTCATCAATGGCAGAAGAGCTATGTCGGAAATGCCTAAAGAGGCCATTATCAACTGCTACTCGAGCGAGCTTCTCGGTGCTGATGTTGGCGGAGCGCAGAAGGGAGAGTTGGCCGGGAACAAGGTGTGGATAGGTTAAGAAGATGAAATTTGAGACGACCATTCCTAGAGCCATGTCGCCCAGGAACTCCAGACGCTGATAAGAGGGCAAATAGGCATAGGAAGGATGAGTCAGAGCTTCTTCCAGAAGTCTCTTGTCCTAGAATTGGTATTGCACAAGATGCTCCACGGCATTAATGGAAGCTTCCATGTCCCAAACCTCGCACCAGTGAGTAAGAGCTTCTTCCAGAAGCTTTTAGAGCCCGAATTCAACTTGCCAACGTTAGTTCACAGAAACTGGAAATGCCATCCGAACCAAGCTTTGTTCAATGCTCTAACTTGCTTTTCACGGTAGAAACCCTAATTTTGGTTTTGTGTAATTGCATTGAACAAAGTTTGGTTCGGATGGCATTTCCAGTTTCCTGAACTAACGTTGGCAAGTTGAATTTGGGCTCTAAAAGCTTCTAGAAGAAGCTCTTACTCACTGGTGCGAGGTTTGGGACATGAAAGCTTCCATTAATGCCGTGGAGCATCTTCTGCAGTACCGATTCAAGGACAAGAGGCTTCTGGAAGAAGCTCTGACTCACCCTTCCTATGCCGATTTGCCCTCTTATCAGCGTCTGGAGTTCCTGGGCGACATGGCTCTAGGAATGGTCGTCTCGAATTTCATCTTCTTAACCTATCCACGCCTTGACCCCGGCCAACTCTCCCTTCTGCGCAACATCAGCACCAAGAAGCTCGCTTGAGTATCAGTTGATAATGGTCTCTTTAGACATTTCCAACACAGTTCTTCTGTCATTGATGAAAAAGTTACGGAGTTTGTGATGACGGTCCGAGAAGAGGACGAGGCCCAGTTTTATGGCAGAGCTATCAAAGCTCCCAAAATTCTTGCCGACATTGTAGAATCCATAGCCGGAGCCGTGTACGTGGATAGTCTGTTCAATTTGGAGAATCTTTGGCTGCTTTAACACTACATATTAGAATATATTTAGAATTATGAGGTCAATATGAAACAAAATTTAATTTTTTCGTAAGTTTATTTCAACTTTGTTGATTTATTGTTTAAAAGTTGTCAATGGTTTGAGGTCTCATCACTGCTTTATGTCATGTGTGTAAGTAAGTCATGTATATGAATTGATCTTCATTTAAATTTTCTTTAAATGATTCAGGTCAAGTTCCCTAATGGTTTGCCCCCACCTCCATCTCGAAGTGAGTATGCTATTTTTTTATATATTCCCTTTTAATCGTGCTTTCTTGGGTGATTTTTGAAGTATATATATTTTTTCAAAAAAACATTTGTCTAAATGTGTTATCTATTAATCTTATGTGCACTGCTTTGGTTGCTATAGAAAAAAGAGAGAAACTTATGAAGCTGGAACCACAACTAAAGAGGCTACTCCCAGGCTTATAATGCCAAATTAGAAGGCAACTCTAGAATCTCAGGTGGCTTCTTTGACTGTTTTTTAAACCATTTGTCTCTCATGTTTTGAGAATTATGACTAAGTGAGGCATTTATGTCATTATGTTAAATTTGATTGAGGCAATCGGGAAAATTATTGGTCAGTATGCAAATAAAAAAAGAAAGAATAAAAAAAGAAAGAAGACAGAGGGAAGAAGTGCCAAGAAGAATAAAAGGTGAATAAGTTTTTTTGATTTTTCAATTTTTTTGTGTTTTTACCTTCTCCAAATAGATGGCACCAACGACATTAGTGCAAAGATTGACTTGCCTTGGACAAAATTGGGGCTTTCATCAAACGATGTTGATCGAGGTGGCTGGGCTAGCAGCACCCCGGATGGTGGCAGCATGGAGGTAAACCCTAGACCTATGGAACTTTTTTCATTTTTTTCAATTTCATGCTATCCTATTTTTCTGAAATTTTGTACTACTAGTTGTTTTAATTAGTAACTTTTTTGTTCAAGAGAAATGTTGATGAAACATTGTATTCCTTCAATCTGTTATTCGATATCATCTCAAAAAGATTTTTCAACTTTACTTGTGGTGATTTTTAGTTATTATAATTATATTTTTTTTAAATGGAAGGTGTAAAATTTTAGCATGCTTTGCATTAACTTGCATGTTATGAAAAATGTACAAATGGATATGTTACAATTTAAGAGCATGTGATATATACTTTTTTTGGTCCCAAGAAGCATTGTTCATATAACATAAGATGTAAATGTTATTTTTTTAAATAGTTCAATGCATAGTTATGGTTTGATCTTCTATGGGCATACAACAGCTTTGTATGATCAGTACATGGGAGATGAAAGCGCCGGTGCTGTAGAACTTTTTCTCATTTACTTATATGTTTACCTTTGGAGCTTGCTTGCAATTGGCTATATGGGAATATCATAACTCTTGGAGCTAGCTTGGAAATGGTGAAATGACGTTTATGGTTCTTGAGTTGTGGAAAGCATAAGGGTGATGTACAATGGTTTCTTAGACAATTGTAATTTGTTATTGTACTTTGGAGTCAACTTAGGCTACCAACTTCAAGGTTTTCACTTGAGAAATGAAGTGAGAGGAATCCAAGGTTATTACAATTGGCCTCTTTAATAGTTGTTTCTTGAAGAGAAAGTTAACATCTTGCAGGTTTCAAATGTTTGGAAGTGAGCAAAGTGAGAAGAGTCCAGTTATTGCAGACACTATTGCCCGTAGCTAGCTTTGGATTGCCCTTTGACTTAATTTTATAATTATAATTAAGGGTATTAGGTTTCCATGTCCTCTTTTTGGGATTTTCTCCTCCCCGCACTCCCCAATTTTTTCAATCGGCTTTCGATTCTATTGTCTCAATTTGTAAATATATTAGACCTGTGCAAATAAGGATCCGGGCCGAATTTGGGCCGGGCTTGATACAAATTATTAGCCCATTTGCATGGGCGGGTTTGGCCCGACCTGGATTTGATGGGCTAAACTCTTTACCCATACCCGCCCATTTTAGCGGGCCGAACTGCCCACCGGGCTGCCCGGCCTTGTAAAACATCAAGTAAATCTTTTTTACACAAAAAAAAAATCAAAAAGAAAATATTGAACTCCTTTTCAAATGTTTAAAATAAAATTACCACTCGTCACATTTACATAGAAAATATAGTAAAAATATTGTTACATAATTAATAAACCCATCATACATATTCATTAAAACACTATTGATTTTTATTTAAGAGGGGTGAGTGATATGAATTATTATACATGAATTAAAGAAAATTTTAAAATTTATAATGTCTAGATAATTAATAATAAATTAAATGTATTTAATGAATATGGGCGGGCCTATTGGCCCGGATGGCTAAAAGTAATTTCCAGATCCTCCCAAATACAATTCGGGCTTGGGCCGGCCCGCCCATATGGGTATTAAAGATTGTCCATATCCGCCCACTTTAAAGGGCGGGCTGGGCGGGCCGGACAGGCCGACCCTTGTTTGCATAAGTCTAAAATATGTTTATTACTTATAGTAGTAACAAATTAAAAAAAGTTTTACGTATACTTTTGTTATGAAGTGTTTATTCTTTATATTTTGAAGCAAATTAATTGTCATGGATGACATGGGTCAATCTCCATTTCACGTGTCAGATTACTATTAAAATCTCACTCTTTAATTGTTTTCAATTTTAAAAGGTTGTCTTGCGTGTAAAATTTTTGCAAGAATTCAAGATCTTGAGTTACGATGATCAAAATAATCCCCTGAATCAGAATTCAAATGTGGTGTATAATAAAGTTTTTCAAAATTTCTAACTATTGTCCAATTCAATTAAAAATAATTTGATCCAATTATTCGTGACTTATTTTTTGAACCAATTATAATCATATGAAACATGATTTAATTATATACTCTCTCCGTCTTTAAGTATTTATCTACTTTTGATTTTTTCAGTCAAAATTGGAAACTTTGACCTCAAATTAAATAAAAATAATATTAGATATTGATACAAAAAAATTTTATTATATTTATTATATCAAATATTTTCAAAATATTATTTTATTTAATTAAAATACAATATATTTTTTATTTAATTATAGGTCAGTTAGCCTTGGTTTGCTAAGCCTCATTTTTTGATGTTAACAAACAATATAAGAGATTGACGTTTGTTTAAGTGTTGCAGTTACAACAAGAATCTATTAAGATTCGGTTCTCAAGAATGAAGTCGAAACACGAAACTAGCGTAGAATTTAGGTAGAAACTGATGTAATGATATGATTTTATATACCTATATTCACAAGCTCAAAAACTCTCACAAAATATGTTTAAAACCCTTTTATAATCATTTTCAAACATCCAAAGATTTTAAACAAAATTGGAAATGATTTGGACAAAAATAAAAAAATTGTCAAAATGGTCATAAGGTACCTAGGTACCGTGAGGGGTACCGTAACGGGTACCGTTAGTTAATCTGAGAAGGTACCCCATATCGTTAGCACGGGACCCCCCTACCGTAAGGGGTACTGTAAGAGGATAGGTACCGCCAGAGAGTTTTGGCCTGAGAAGGTACCTAGCTACCATACGGGACCTAGCTACCGTGACAGGGTACTGTAACCGTTGGAACACTATTCCTGATTATTGATTTTTGAATTAATTCAACTCTAATCACCTCTTAACGGCTAATTAAAATCTTCCACTATAAATATAGGCGTAATACTTCATATTTCAACAAGAAACAAAGCTCTAAACATCCTCGCTTTATATTCTAAGTGTGTTCATTCTTTTATTAATTATTTTCAATATTTTGGCTATTTCAAGAGCCTTAATTTCCTGATTTTTATACACACACTTTGAGCTTGTGTTTCTAGTTATATACTCTCATATTCATAAGTTTGAATTGTCTTTTTGAGAGAGTATAATTTCTTCTACACTGGCTAAGTTTTGTTCTTCATTTTTATATTTAAGCCGTTGTGTAGAATCCTCTTTCGTGTTTTTCAAACACACCTACTTATGGTCGAGAATAGCCGTTAAATTCTCACATTGTAACGGTCAAGGATAGCCGTATAGATCCTTGGGTAAAGGTTCAAGGATAGCCTTTGAAATCCTTGGGGAGCGGTAGAAGATAGCCGTTAAATCTTCATTATAAGCGGTTCGAGATAGCTGTGGTGAAATCTCGGAGTGTATCCTATTGGCAAGGGTTGTTTGCCAAACTAGTGCGGTGCTTTGACGGAGTTCAAGAGTAGGAGTCTCGAGGTACTGGAGTAGAGAGTTCTCGAGCCAGTATAAATTTGGTGTGCATTTTATTTACGCTTTTATTTTTGCATTTTATATATTGTTTCCGCATTTGCCAACACCATTTTTATTAAACGCCGAAAAGTTTTCAAATGCCTTATTCACCCCCCCCTAAGGCGTGGGCACAACGACTAAATCGAATAACAATTGGTACCAGAGCAGTTTCGTAGTTGAAAGTACTTAACCGCATCTACGACAAAGATCCACTTGTTGTGTCCCTTTTTAAATTTGAATTTTTTTTCTTAAAAGTTTCTTATCCCTGATTTTTAAAATTCAATTTAAAAAAAATGGCGGTTAGTAATATAGATTTGAATTGGTTAATAATATTAGTTCTAGATGACAATGAAAACCCTTGCAACCAAACTAAAAATGTTCTATACTCTAAAGTCTTTTCAAAAATATAGATTTAAAAAAGGTACTTTGAGGTGTTCATTTTTAAATTTATATATATAAATTTTCATTACCAAACATTAAATGCTAAGTTATTTATTTTACTTTGATTTTAATGTTTATAATGTTAAAGAACGCATTATATATATTTTCATTAATTCATTAAAAATATTATATAGAAAATAATTTACAGAAGCAACAAAAATTTCGTTCAACCCGTGCGCTGCACGGGTTAAATACTAGTGACTATATACAATGGACTAAATTAGATAAAAATAAAGAGAATGGGAAGGCAGCAACAATTCACATGAAAATCTCACTGTAATTCTCTAGTTGATGCAAGCAGCTCAGCAAGTAAAATAGCCTTCTATGTTTCAATTCTTCAAAAAGCTTATCTTGTTGAAATTATATACAAGAGTAGAATTTTTAGAAATCACCATAAATAGGACTAAAACATAGAGAAAAATACCAAAATCGGACTTTCATGTTTTTTCCCCCAAAATAGGACTTTGCACCGTGGTAATGTGACTTTGCCCTGTGGTAATGTGGCAGTGTGCATGTGCAAATTCCTATACTTCTTTGGTAATATATATGACCATGTATGGTAATGTAAGTCCAATTTCAGGAATAAAAACATGAAAGTCCTATTTTGGTATATTTTCAATGTTTTAGTCCTATTTTGGTCTTTCTTTCTAGAATTTTCCATACAAAAAAAATTATTCGATTATAAATATTTTTAAAGAAAACTGAAAGTCAAAGATTGTTACTTAGTACTCAATTCATGAGAGTGTATATGGTACATCCGGATGTATATAGAAATAGGTACATCTGGATAGTACTCATTCTGAAATAAAATAGTACACATTCTCGTATCAACATATATTAGTTTTGAAATAGTGTGGTGCTCATTCTGAAATAACAAAATACTCATTCTGAAATAATGTAGTACAGATTTTCACATATTTATTTAATACAATTATAAAATTCAATTACGAATAAAGTAAAACAAATTACTACTCATTCTCAAATAAGATAGTGTTCATTATGAATTAAATTAATTGTTCATCCCACTATCACTTAATCTTTACACCGAGTCTTCCATAGTCCCACTTACCTTAAACCCCCAATTTCCATCTGCTTCCTCTCCCGCAATTATAACGCAATCGATAGAAAGCACCGGCCAGGAACGGAACTAGCATCCATTCATCAGCGGCGTCTGCGTCTTCTCCAGCAAGCAGGAACAGAGGCGCGACAAAGGTGGGTAGGCGAAAGTCAATTTTCCGTTCCATCTCTTCTTCTCGTCTCGTCGTGCTTCTTAGGGATTTAAGCCGGCTGTACGGTTCTAACCGTACAGCCGGATGTACGGTATAATTTGCGCTCAATTCATAGCTTAAATCTATACATATGACACCATAGAAACTTTCTAATGATAATTCATGGTGCAAATCAAACAAACAATAAGAGCAAGCCAGGATTGGAACATTAAAAAACACTTTGGAACACAATTATTAACTAGTCTCCTAATAATTACTTTTAGGAAAATGCTAGAGTCACAAACTTAAAGTTCACAAACTTCACAAACTTGCCTTTTGTGGAATTAAAATTAAAATATTTTTTAATATTTGAGTGCATCTTATTTCTAGGAAAGTGCTAAAAAGGCAAGTTTGTGAATTTTGTAAACTGTTTGTTTGTGACTCTAGCATTATTCTTACTTTTAATTGAGATAATAGAATGATGTGCATCTCTCTTGTAATGAAAAAATGGAAGAAAAAAACATGGGATGAGATCCGACCTAGGAACGGCAGAGGAAGGTCGGCAGCCGCCGGCTTATGATTCTGATTCCGGCAAAGAGAATCCTGTAGATGGAGAGGATGTTGGAGGGAGACGGCGATGTAGAAATGAGGAGATGCTATAGACGGTTCTAGGGGATGCAGTTAACAGATGTGAGAAACGGTGGATCCAAGGAAATAAAAATTCAATTATAAATTTGGGGCTGGATTGTAATAAACAAAAATACATGACGTGGAATATGCTTAGCTCTCATTCGTCCACGTGTGGAGGGCACCAAAACCATCACTTTAAGAACGGCACCGAATGAAACGCCAAAAAAGACTCACCAAGAAAAAAAAAGTTGTTCAGCTCTTTTTTCACACATACTAAAACTCAAGTACCGATAGTTTTTGCGTGACTGAATTGGTTCATTTGTCTTTCAACTAAGACTAATAAAAAAGTTTTGATTTATTTATCTCCTTACTTTTGTTACATGGATTAGTGACACACAACTGAACAATGAAAACTTATAGGACCGGTATTGATTTTAAAATATAAAGAAAGAATGTGAGGCACAAACACTATGAATCAATTTAATCAAAATGGGGAGGGAAAGAGTATAAAAGCTCAAACAACATCAAACCAACATAATATGCAAACTGTTTCAATTAATATGCAAGTAGTGCATGTTGTTTCAATGTTTTCTTCTCTGCTAAGAAAAGGTTTAGCACAACAATAATATGCAAAATGTTTTAACGATAGTCGGTACACTAAAATCCGATCAGGCTCGTACTTTGATCAGGTCAAAACACAGTACTCATTTGTGTTGCCCATTTACGACCTGTGCATTTTATTTTCAAGCAATGTTATTGAACCCAGACCGGACCGGCTGGTCAAACCGATCGGACTGCAAACTGGTGACAACTCCAGTCCGGGTTAACAGGAAACCGAATTTCCCAAAAACCTGTATTCTAACGTAACGATATACTCCATATACTAACACAAACAATGTCCACCAAGAAAGACTCAAGTAAAAAAAAACTCATAAAAGAAGAGAGATGATAATACCCTGTATTACTCTATAAATACCAAGAACACAAACCACACGGCATCGTACGTACAATGCCTTCCGAAACATAGGAGGAAACATGCATAAAAGAAGTCTCTAAGTCTGTTATTAGTGTATGAGTACAGAAAAACAGCCGGCTAAAATTTGCTCGAGTACGCATACATTCATATGATGACTAAGAAAATAATCAATATCAAGGACCAATGAATTTTACAAAGAACAACGTATTAACGACTGTCCGAAAGAAATGACAAAGAAGACTTGAGTAACTTGAAAGGTACAACAACCTATAAATAGGCAAACACTAAATGGAATACACCACCAAGTAAAGCATATTTTATTTGTCAACCAAAGATGACATGGCAACCATTCAATAACCTTAATGGGAAGCACCCCACAATCAATTGCTTGCCTCCTGCAAAGATAAAAGATTGAACACTTTTAGATGTGGAGGAGAAAAAAATGAATCCTCATTTTGATGTTTTTGAAGAGAAAATAAATCTTTTAAAAAGTCAAAACCAGAAAAGTATCATCCTCATTTAGATGTAATTGTGGCAACAACGTAAATACACCAATTAGGTTGTAAAATGTTATTTTTCATCACATACATACTTTCCCGCAGTTTCCACTTGGCTCAACAATCTATCCCACTTAAGCAACTCTCTTCTGGCCAATACTAAATTAATCACTTCAACAGGGATGAGTAAAACAAATTGAGTTTATGGGCCACAAATAAAAACGCAAGCTAACATGTTTTCTCACTACTTCTACAGTCCTACAAAACCTACTGATTACTTGTGTGGGTGTGTGTGTGATCTCGCTTCTAATACACTTAACCGAAAACACTTTTCCACAGGGTACCACAAAAGATAGCAAAAGTCCACGAGTTTCAACAAAGGGAGCTTAAAGTGGGCAAGAAGGATCATATGAGTAGCATTTAGCATCACGTCATGCATGTGAAACATTCCATTTAAATGAAGAGAAAGAGAGTTGCAGAATATATGAACCTAGAGCAGTAGGAACCCTGTAACTTCGATGGTGTTTGGGATATCATGGCATTGGACATCAACGGGAGTGCAAACGACGTTGAGACCATTGTTGGGGCGATCAACTTTGAACTTGAAGAACATAGTAGAAGCACTACTGGTGGTTCCTTCATCTCCATCACAAGGAGACCAAGTAGCCATCCGGAAATGGCCACCGCCAACATAAAACATAGCATCAAACTCATACTTGGTCACTTTAACACGATAACCATTGCTGTATTCATACTTCTTTGAGGACCAAGTAACCTTGAGCTCTTGGCGCCTCGCAACATCATAGGCATAGAGGAAACCCCGGGACTTGAAGTCATGAATGTACAAGACATTGTCCACAAGAACCACATTACGATACCTCCAGTGAAACAGACTCCCATTACGCTCCCACTCACCAGAACCGGGGTAGAAAGCATACAGGGTTCCATCATAGAGGTGCACAAGAAAACGGGAATTCTGAGGGTCGGAGATAACTCCTCCATCTGAAAC